AGATTACAGCATTCGTAAGCAAAAATATAAATTAGAAAACTCGCGTAATTTCAATATTTTGCAAATAATAATGGCAATCTGTGCATTTTGAATATTGTTACAAATTCTGTGTAAAATAGTGTAAATAATTTGTATTCGGATGTGTAAATCTTACTTTAAGTTATATTTAATTTACGTTAAAAATGTAATGTTCACAAGCAATGCCGTCCGTCCCTTGCGTGTTAGTTGCATTTCAATGAGAACTTGGCGAAACCTTGGCAATAGAGCCAAGTTTGCATCATTTTTGGCGATAAAGTTGGCGGCCAATTTGGGGATTTTGATGACCTTTTTGGCGGCATTGGTGACCCTGTTGGCGAGTTCGGGACTCTCTGGATTCTTCTAGAAACTAGTGGAGAAGTCTACTAATTTCACGCTCTTTGAGGCAAGTGGATTTTTCTAGAAGATAAATAGAGATGCTCATCGAAACGAGTCAGTCTGGATTCAACCAGTGATTAGTGAGCATTGTTTTGCATAGGGATTAGCTCGGCTGTGCTTGTGAATAATCGTTTACATACGTGTAATTTAGACATTGTTAATTGTGCCTGAGTGCTGTCGAAGATGTATAGACCTTCTGAGATTTATTGTGTGAATATTGCTGCTGAATCTTGTATTTCAAGAGTTGGAATTTCAACAATAAATTCGCATCGCTCTTAAAAAACTGTTATTTTTCTTTGTGACAGCTTTGCATAAATTCCCTGAACCCCGATCAACGTAACGCAGTGTTTCTCAAACTGTGGGGTGCGCCCTCTAGGGGGGCGTGAGCATATTGTAAAGCCGGGAAAAAAAAAGCTTATTTTAAAAAATTATTGATTTACAGAAAGTATAAACGAACAAAATACATTCTAACATAATAAAAATTAATAAACATTTATACTGGTATAATACATGTATAAATGTATCAGTGCTAAATAATGTATTTAATAATTAATTTACCAATTACCCCATGGGCTTGTCATATATAAAATTATACACGAAAATTAACACTTATCTTCATAATGTTTACGGTTTATAATGAATCACTTAACTGCCAATTAAAAGTTATGCAATTCGCTCCCCAAAGCCAATAATTAAATCCTTTGCAAACACTGTCAAGGTCATTTTATTACATTTTAAAGCCTACGAAATAATTTTATGGATAGTAGCTCACAAAAAAGATCGTACTTCAGAAAGACTTATATATACGTCCGGGATAATTAATGTTTTGGCTGAATGAAACGTTTATATACGCTGGTAGCACTTAAAAATTTATAGTCGTATTGCAGTTTTAGCGTCAAGTATAGTATTAAAATGAATTAAATACATTGTTCTCGTATGGAAGGGGGGGGGGAGTGATGAAAATTATGATTGAATATTGGGTCGCAAATATTAAAACTTTGAGAGAATCACTGACATAACAATACCTTTGATTAAGAAGCACCAAGAACCAAAGAACTGCCCTGTATCATTCAGCATCTTTTGAACAGCGACTTAACCCATTGATCCGCGATTAAGATTCGAAAACGTTAACAAATCGCTGTGGAATCGCCTGATAACCAAAGCGCATCGGAAAGAATCTATCTCCTGTGAGAAGCGCGATAATTAAGCGGCAATTACGCCTCATTTCCAATTGATGAACGGAATATTCTTATGAAGCCTTAAATCTCTCGTTAAGTTAACAATTTCCTTCCCTAATTACGACATCGATCATTACTGTCTTTGACGATCACTCTAATTTGGCCGATAAAAGCATCGATCTGCGATCGTTAGCATTATCGGGTGATCGGAAGTCGTTTGTAACACCTGCTTTCCAGATTCAAAGACCCCGCCAACCGACTTAACGAACGCCAACTTAAACGGTGCGAAGGTTGGGAATTTGACAGTATCACCTTACCTGAAGAATGTAAAGAATTACATTTTTGAAGAGGAGGGAAAAAAGGAAGTAAAATATTCTTCACTTGATGCCATCATAAAATGAAGCACATTCAAGTTAATGTTCTATTGTTTTATTAATTTCATACACAGAAAGTGTTCGAAAACTCACAGCAATTAAGGGAGTCTACCTCACGCAGCATTTTCTCTATCTCCATACTGTTATAAATAACTAAGTTTACGGAACAGTTCTTTTTTTAAAAAAATGACCCATCGTATAATCATGAACATTTTATGAGGAGTTTTTGCAGTATTCTTATTTTAATTTAGAATTTTTAAAAATTTTAACTAGCCCTTTTTTATATAAAAAAAAATTATATGTTGAATAACATGGCAAAAGCTTTCAAATGATGGACAATTGCGTACATTTTAACCCGTAAATCTTTCTTGAATAACTTCTTCGAACACAAAATATCTCATTAAATTATTTATTTAAATAAAATTAATTTGTGTGCAAAGCATGAAAGCCATAATATGAATAGAATTTTCAAAAACGTTCCTTTTGTGTTGTAATTTACACTTTTGAGAAATCGTGATTTAAATTCAACACTTTTACCTTATAAAGTGATACATACTAGCAACATAGTTTCGATTGCTAAAATGGTTGTAGTTTTGTTAGGCTAGTAAAACTTAAAAAATATAAAATACAAGAAAGCCATATAAATCAAACCTTTTTAAATAAAAAAAAATATAATGTTTTTTAATCCTAAGACTTCATTTTAACACATGTCATAAAATGTGAAAAAATTTTTGTCTATTTTAGCAACTTATTTTAATTGCATTTAAGGTATCCGACTACGTTCGGAACCGTCATTTTAAAAAAAGCTCATAAATGGATAATTGTCATGATATTTAGTGTCACTTAGATTAAAATACATGTATAAAATGGTTTTAAGGACATTTTGATAAAAAAAAAATTATTAAAGGGAATATTTTGGCAAAAAATTAACTTAGAATAATTTTTTTTCCAAATGTTCTCCTTTTGTGAAAAATGCTTCTATTATAATAATATATTGTCTGTATATAGCTCAGACCTCTCTACAGAGGCTCAACTAGAATTTTTGAAAAATTCTCACTATTTTCAGAGTTACCACGAATTTAAAGAATTATTGACGTTTTTTTCTTAAAATTGCTCCCCTCTGTTGTCGTAAAATATGAATAAACCCACTTCTAAGTTATATATTTCAAAAATTCTAGTTGAACCTCTATACAGTGGTCTGAGATATAGATAGGCAAAATATTATTATAATAGAAGCATTTTTCACAAAAGAACATTTTGAAAAAAAAATTATTCTAAGTTAATTTTTTGCCAAAATATTCTGTTTAAATAATTTTTTTTGTCAAAATGTCCTTTAAACAATTTTATACATGTATTCTAATGTAAGTGACACTAAATATCATGAAAATTATCCATTTATGCGATTTTTTAAAATCACGGTTCTGAACGTAGTCGGATACCTTAAACAGGACTGGAGTGTTATCAGGTAGAATTTTAAAGAAAAAATGACATGAAAAGATTGATGGTTGATCAGCAGAAAATTATACTCTGATTCAACTCTCCAAGATTCAGCAGTTTGTAATATAAATATTTTATATCTCTCTAGTTTTTGTAAAGCCTTGCATTAACCATTGGTCAAAGAACCAGTATTTTACGAGATCGTGTCCTTATTTCATAATCCTCCTTTCACTAAGCTGTCACACACACAGAGAGAATCATAATACAATTGACAAACAAGTATTTTTATAGCTATTTCATTATTTCTAGAACTTCTAGGATATGCTGGAAGCTGCAGTTTATCCGGAATTTCATTTTAGAGTTGCTTTCAATTATTTTTCATATAATTATTCGTTAATATAAGGATTAATTATGCCTACGTTTGGATTTGTTTTCTGAGTCAAAATGAAAAAAAAATGTGACGTAATAGTTGTGAGGTACTTTTGTAGTTCGCTAGACCCATAACGTATGAAATCTTTAGTTGGATAAAATAGATCGTAATAGAAAAATTGATTATTTTATTCTGAGAATATATATGGAAATGTAGTAACCAATTATATATAATGAATATTTTAATTTGTTTCCAAAATTGGTAAGGAAAAATTAAATATGAAATGTACGTTAATTGAATTTTCCTGGAAGATAAAAACATGCTTGTTTGATTATTACTTATTCTAAATTTTAAAAAAAAGTATTTTTTAAAAAATTTATTAAAGGAAAAACCTAATTCTAGTTTTATCATACTTTATTTAGAGCAACCTTTTTGTAGAGAGACAAATTATATATATATATATATATATATATATATATATATAAAGACAATCTTATTTAAATTACTGTATTTTTCTATTAGCAATACAGTACAACCAATCTTGGAACTCATAAGATGACAATCAGATCAGCAATCTAAAATTGCTTCGAATCATCTGATGACAAAAATGGATAAAAAGCACAATTATTTGTAACGTAATATTTTTTCCCTATACCTCGAATAAAACATGATTTCAATTTGCTCCAATTGGCTCATTTTTAGTGAAATAAAAAAATGAAAATTTCATTAGTTCATGAGCAGCTTTTAGAGGGATGTCAGCTGAAGTACTAGTCTTTAGAACTCGGATCGAAACTACGACATTCGTTGCCAATAGCCCCTTTAAAGCTTCAAAATACGAAGTTAAAAAATAATACACAAGGAATTATTCCTTTAAAAATAACCAAACATAATGACTAATTAAAAAATTATTGTTTTTACACTTTTTTAATACATTTAAACTGAACA